AAAAAAAAAAAAAAAAAAAAAACAAATCCAAATATGGCATGCAAAATAAAATGAAGATCGTCATCCTCCCACATGATGCAATATGTCCTCCAGGGAGTAGAATTATACTTTCTCTTCCGCAGGCGGTAGAATTCTACTTTCTCTTCCGTCGAATATATAGTAGAAGCTTAAATAACACATATGGATCGCTAAAGTCACTAAATAACTTATGTAATGTGAGAATACAAATAAAGCAATAAATTACCTCGTTTGATGTGTTAACTCCACTACAAATAATTTCATGAAGGTTCTCATTGTCTATATCATCATCTGCAACAGAAGATAATACGGAGTAAAAGGTTAACAAATGCATCATCACTCAAATTTGTAAGGGATAATACCATTAAATTTCCTTCTCAATTGGCTAACCTAGTGCTATCTTTCATATTCTCAACCCTTTTAAATTATAAATCTAGTAACTGCTGTTGCAATTATTTAAGCAATCTCACACTAGGCAAGCTTCACGATATTCTCAGAGTTATCTTTCATTGCGTTAAAGTAATTTGACATTATATTTTCACACATACATTCTTGTCTACACACACATTCGTGCCTGCATCTCTCCTACATTGGATTACCAAAGTTTGTCACATAAAACTTCAACAACAGGCTTCAACCTAATACTATATTCTAAGTGGAAATCGCATTAATGAAATCATATATGCATGAGTATACATACATATATATAGATGAATTCGGATACAGTGAGAAATTGAGCGGCCACAAAAGATTACCTGAAGCGGACTCATCGTCTTCAGAGGATGAAGATTCCGAGTCGGAGAAGATGGAATTAAAGATTTTCCCCGCGCCCGAAACAAGGAAACGAGCTGACGGAACAACGACGCCCGTAAACCAATTAGGGCTTTTCGGCTGAGGAGGTGGTGACGGTTGCGGTGGAGGGCGATCGTAAGGGGTGGCGGAAAGCCGCTGCTTCCGGCGATTCGTGACAATTTTACCGCCGGCGCCGGATCGAGAGGTCGCCATTTGGAGGAAAATGGAAAACTGAAATGATTGGGTTTCGTTTATTTCAGGAGCATTTTAAATGATTTTGCTAACTTCACTTGTTCCGAGGTTTGTTGGTTCCCTTCATCAATTACTCATTTTAGTTAATTTTTTTTTAATTTATATTTTAATTTAATTAATACAGTTTAGAATCATCATATTATTATTAGTTTGATTAACAGTTTGTTTAGGCTCCGTTCTGTTAGGGAATTATATTAAACTAATTGTTTATGTATCAACTTGTTTAAGTTGTTTTGTTGGGCAACCAGAGTCGTATCTAGAAATTTGGAAGCCCAGATAAGTTTTTCTTTTTCGAATTTTTAGATTGGAACTTGCGTAGTAATTATGGCTATTTGCAAATAGAATTATAGAAGAAAACCTAATAAATAAATAAAATCTTGTTTTTCTACACATTGAAATTGATAAATTACCCTAGGTTACAGAGATCTTTAATGAATTACTTTCAAACAGTCATGACGACAACAAGGAGAAGAAATAAAAACCATATCACTGCAAATAATATTTATTTTCACACGCATTATTCTGACCGAACATCATAAAAAAACAAATAAAATATTTAGGGCCCCAAATTTCACACAAAGTACATATTTTGCCATTAGTCTTTTCATTAATTACCCTTCATTTTTGTAATGAGGTTAGTCCATAGTTAGCCATTAGCTCCTTCATTTATGTAAATAGGTCAAACCCAACACAAATACATATATTTAAAAAAATGGGCCCCATATATATGGGGG